AGATCTTGCCCTTTATGTAGATATTTATTCATTTTTATATTATTTTCAAATTTTTATTTTAAAAGTAATAAATTTATTTATAAAAATAATGTGAAAACATCAAATAAATGAGTTTAAAATTATCATTATAAATTATGCTTTATAATTATAATTATAAAATTTATAATTTATAATTTACAATTTATAATTTAAAATAAACTTCATAATTGAGCAATATCATACTTAATAATAAATTTAGATTTAAATCATAAATAAAAATATTGTTCTTTTGTGTACATGAGATTATTCACATTTTCATTTATTTACTTAAAGACTTTGTTGATCAAATTGTTGGGCAAGTTCTTCTAATCTTTATTATCCATATATGACTTTATAAATATAATATCAAGATTAAAAATATATATGAAGAAGAAATATTATTAAGGGAAAAGAAATTTCTTGAATTACAAGATCAAAATCATAATTTTTTTTTATACTTGTTCTAAATAAAGTCTACATTCATGGTGTTTTTCTAAAGTAACTTTGACACAATTTGAGTGGGTAGCACAACATATTGCCACAATGGAATGCATAATTTACAATTCACTATAAAAAAATTTCTATTAATTATAATTGTATAAGTTTATATATATACTAAAAAATTTCTATTAATTTTTATTTTTAATTAAAATTATATTCACAAGGGGAAAAGAGCATCCCATACTCTCACTAGAGAAATCGGTTTTTTAGTGTATCTATTAAATGCGTTTTCTAATTGAAAACACCGTGAAATCGATATGCACCTTCCAATTTTCTATATCCAATATACATATGGATATGGAAGATACTGCAAAGCGCCTATAGGTGAAAATGAATAGTGATTTCGCCTACCCTCATCATCGTCTAAAGTTTATCGTATGGTTACAATTATCTAGTAGTGTTTTATTTTTCAAATTTTTTCTATAAATCGAAATGATCTGAAATTTAGAAAGTGTGTTCATCAAAAATAGTTGAATCTACGAAAAATATCAAAAAAATATTTTACATGAAATAAATTGATCAAAATAGCCCCAAAAAGTTTCAAGGGTCTTTGGTCAATTTTGTTTTAGTGAATTATTTTTTTTATATATATTTTTATTAGGTGTGACTCACTAAGATGTACACTAAAAATCAATTTCTCTAGATTAAATCTAGGCCAATTTGACGATCATGACCTCATTTGGTAATATAAATTTAATATTTTTTCTACTCATCCAAATTACATAAAATTTCAGGTGTTTATTCTTCTTATCAAGACGCACCTAATAAAAATACTAAAAAAATAATTTGCAACTAATAAATTGATTAAAATATCCCTGAAACGTTTTGGAGGTAATATGATGAATTTAGTTTTTGCAATTATTTTTTTGATATTTTTAATAGATTATCCTATTTTTCAAAAATAGATTCTCAAAATTTCAAGTTATTTAAATTTGTAAATAAAAATTAAAATTTAAATATGAAATGCAATTGTGACCATTGGATCGACTCAGATTCAATCTGGGTCATTGGGCTAACATCATAGTTGTGAGGTAGTGGGCTAACATGATCTTTTCCCTTTTTAAATATATTAAAATTAAGATTATTACTTCTTTAAAATAATAACACAAGTTACGCGAGTAACATATCATCGTGCCACTATAAAAATGATATGTTATATTGTTCTAAGCAGCAGTTTACTTAATATTAATGTAAATCGAATGTCAACTTTAATCTTAATAAATTAATCAATTCCTTTATATGTATGATATCAAAGTTACATTTGTTCTGACTCAATATAAGCTATATAAGTTGTTCTTACATATTCTTATATTAGAAAATCTTTATTATTACCTTTTCCCTTGGTATCTCTAGAGTCACTTATGATTGCCACCTAAACTCATCACACAAATTAAGCTGGCAAGATGATAAATTGGCACCACAAAACATAACACAATGCACGACTCTAAACAGTATTTTACTTAAAATTAATATACAAAACTATAGTTTATTAAAAGAAAAAAGTTTATATAAAGTTGCAACTTTAAATGTAGAATTTAGGTGCACCTAATTAATTCATCATAAAAGAGTAGTTAAAAGTTGCAAAACCCTCTAATTGATCATCTCCACATCGAGATGCATGAATATGAAAAAGAAAAATATTTTGAGTCCAAAAAATAGTGCATCTTGTAACACAGTAGTTGGATTGTCCATTTTCAATATTTGAACCAGTTTTTTAGTCTAGAATTTTATAATTAGAAATGACAGTAGATTCTCAAGACATCCTATGAATTTTTTATGCCAAAAATTACATCTTATGATAAAATTTAATCATGTTATGATAAAATTTAATGGTGCACCTTACTTTGATTGTTGAGGGTTGCTACCTTATGTAAACCACACCCTTATTAAAAATCCTTCGAATTTATTTTAAACGAATATAAATCATGTGTAAAGCACGTGGATTCCGCTAGTATTCCTAAATTGTTATATGTTGAGGAGCGTATCAGATATTAGTTCTCCTAGTAAGACCTTCTCCAACAGCAGCCCAAATTTCGGGGATGTGATCTCTTCAAATTAGTACCTTATGTAAACACCCTTATTAAAAATCCTTCGAATTTAT